TGCCCACGCCAGCGGTGTTTCAGGCCTGCGACATGGACTCAGGCGGACGCCAGACCACAGTCCTGCACCGCCTTCTGGACAGCACGGGCGCGACCCTGGGAGCCATCCAAGCCAGAATGCTGCTCGCCCTGTCATTACTCTTGCAGCGCGAACCGCGTGCCTGCCTGTGCCCGTGCGGGGACGCCGAGGGCATCGGCGACGTGATCGAGGCCATTCTTGGCTTGTGCGAGCCGTACCGGCAGACCGCGAGTGCGCGGTATGCGAACTCTACGTCGACGTGCTCGGGTCCAGCATAGGCCCCACCGCGGACCCTGCAAAGCAGGCAGGCAAGGTCGCCTGGATAGGCGGGGGGTATTCCTTCACACGCCTACACCTTGACGCGCCCGCCCCACTCGGGCCCCACCCCGGCGTGGCGCTATGGCCTCCCTGGATAGACGAGCGTGACACCAGGTGGACGAAGGAGCAGAACAAGGCCGACTTCTACTGCCGGGGGTGCCTCCGTGGCCCGTTCAAGCACGACGAAGGAGCGTGCGTCAGCGAGCGGATCCGCCAGGTCATCGCGGTCAACAGGCAGATTGAGTATTACCAAGGGATGGACGTCGCCTGGCTGTGCATTTGCTGCTGGACCACGAAGGCCATGCAGGAGCGCCGGCCCATCCTGGAGGACGTGGAGTTCAAGGACTGGATCAACGATCGCCCCGACGACATGCCGGTGCGCGCGACGCGTGCCCTGCCGGGGCGTTGCCCAACGCCGGCACCCGCGGCATTCACACCCCTGGAGCAGCTCCTGGCCCCACTGGACGGCGACGTGAACCCGCTCGACGTGGGTGCCGCGCTACCAGCCAGCAACGCGAACGACGACCGCCTGATCTCCCAGTTCCACATGAGCAACGTCGGCATTTGGCGGCGCGACGGCTGCCCGCCCGGCACAGAGGGGCACAGGTGGCAGCCTGGACAGCCCATCCCTGGCATGTACGGCCACGCCGCTGACCCTGAAGGCCTCCGCGCTGGCCTAACCCTGATCCATGGGCATTCGCCAGTCCAGCTCATGAAGGAGATGTTCCTGTCCAAGCGCTGGCACGCAGGCTGGTACTGCGAGGACTGCCTGATCCACCAAAGGGATATGGCCCCGTCCGCAGTGCGGCGCGTGCTCGACAAGTACGGCCCTGCGGTATACCCTGGCCGCGGAGTCAAACCCCTCGCCGCGCTACCCGGCATCCCTGCCGCCCCCGCAGGGGTTGCATTGCGCCCCAGCCAGTGGGAAGTGCAACGGCGGGCTGCCGCCTGGGATGAGGAGGCGCGCGCCCACCAGGAGCGCCTTCGCGGCGCGCCGCCGCCTCCGCCGGAGAACGAGCAACAGCGCCATGCCTGGGCGCGAAGGATGACGGCCAGGGAGACGCACGTAAAGATTGTGGCGCAGATCAGGGGCCAGGGCGCCGGAGGGGCACGCAGCGGCGAGACCAAACACACGGGCGCAGCTACCGTCGCGGCAGCTCAGCCGACCCCGCAGCCTGCGACCAGCAGCGGGCCCCAGCAGGACGACGTCCCCCGGATAGACGGGCACAACACCCGTGCCCTTGACCCCACATACAGCCAAAGGCCCATCAAGGACCGGCGCCTGACGCCCGCCGATCCACTACCGCCCACGCCGCGCGATAGCGAGCTGGCCTCGATCCCTTCCGCTACGCGACCCACGGCTGCCAAGTCTGCGGGGGCCCCACCGGCTGCCAACGCAACCCCTGATCCTCTCCTGGAGCGCGCGGATCGCGACCGCGACCGGCGGCAAGGGCGAGTCCCAGTCAAACCCCTCCTGGCCCCCACCCGCCCGATTACGACGGACAGCCCAGACATCGAGAGCGGCGACTGCGTGGTCATCTGGAACGACACCCTCCCCCGGGCCAGGTGGTTTAGAGCAGCGCAGAGCACCGTGCCCCTGTTCACGCAGCCCCTGGACGGAGCAGTATTCGGACCAATCTGCGACGTCCAGACCCGCGAGAAGGACGGACGAACCCTGATCGCCCACATCGGCAACGAGTGGCTTGAAGTCTGGGGTGCCAGGACCAAGACGCTGCGCGCCGACGTCCTACGCGGCAATGCGGCGCGCCGTGCGGCCGCCTTCCTGGATGGGGCCCCCGACAAGGCACAAGCACCGCAGGAGCCAGCGGGTCCTGCCAGCTCGGCGCCGACCCTGGAAACGCCACGCCGGCGTCTGCAGAAGGGGCTCAGCCCAAATCCAGGCCCCAGCCCCGCGCGCCACGTACGGTCGCACGGGGCCCCATGCACGAGCCGCCGCCGCACGGGCGCGCCAAGGGGGAGGACATCCCCGACTGCACCGACGAGGGCCAGGAGGAGGAACAGGCTCAGAGGCTGGCGGAGGCCGCAGGCACGGTGCACGCGGTCTCACCCTCCCCAGACCTTGGAGCACATCGGCAGGTCCACGTCGGGACGAGCCCACGGGAGATGCGACGCAGCAGTCCTGAACGCGACGCCGACACGACGCACCGGGCCCGCTGGGCCCACGAATCCACGGGGCAGACAGTTCGCGATGGCCGGCGCCGACGACCGTGCCCTGCGCGCGCGGCTCCGGACTGCGGCCGCAGGAGCCGGGCGCGCCGCGCCCGACCCCCGCCCTGCGCGCGAGTGCGGTCGCGCGCGGCAGGGTGAGTGGCCCGGGTCCCCGGGGCCGATGCGACAGCACGGCGCGGCCCCCGGTCAGAGATGCCAGCGACCGGGACCGAGCCAGAGAGCGCGACCGCGACCGGGGCCGCGATCGTGACCGGAGCGGAGGGTGGGGCCCTTAGCGACAAGACGATCGCCGCAATCTTGAACACAAGGGTGAACGCCGCCGCCCTGATCACAACCGCCCCTGGGAAGACCGCCGTGTCAACTGGCCGAGACGCCCAGGCGAGACCGCGTCCTCCCACCTGAAGAGGCTGAAGGCCGAGGGGGGTTAGTACTTCACCGCAGCCTGGCGCTCTTGGCGCATGCATATGGGCCAGGAACGGGGCAAGACCAGGGGCCGAGTCAGGTTCGACCCGTCCTGCTGGAAGCCCGACGTGATCGATCGCTTCCAGGAGGGAATGGCCAACAGCCGCTGCGACGTGGGTAAGTGGCCCCGGAACGCGGGCGTCTACGTCGATTGGGAACGCGAGAACACCTTGTGCCAGGAGTTCCAGCGGAAGCGGGAGGTGGCCAACGGCGAAGGGAGCGGAGAAGGGCGCAGAGAGGGCCAAGCGCGCAGATCTGGGTACACCGACAATTGGACCGGGAAGCGCCCCAGGCGCTGACCAGCCCTGGGCTCTCCCCCGGACGACGCCGCACAGAGTGCCGCGCCACCGCCCCTCCTGTCCCTGGCAGGCCTCTTGGCGCTGTGCTCCGGGTACGACCAGTGCGTCGCCGTCCACGGCGCCCTACCCTGTCTTCCTCCTCTCCCCTCCTCCTACACACCTGATTGTGGGGCGGTTAGTCCCTCCTGATCCCGCGCCAAGTGCGATGTCGACTGGGGCTGCAAGTGCCCTGCAGCAGGAATCCGGCGGCACCTGGGTACGGCCATCCACGACGGGCGCGGGGAACGGCCCGCTGCGCGTTCCGAAAGGGCACTGACGCGGGGTACAGCGCCCAAGCGCTGACGCACAGCACCGCCTCGCACGGTCCTCTTGACCCCGGGCGCCTCGCCCGCGCCGCCCCTCCTGGCTCTGGCGCCGCGGCGTTCTCCTCCAGTGCGGCCTGGGCGGCGCCTTCGGCAGCTTGCCCTCCCCCTCCCCCCCCTCCTTTACTTGAATTTGGGACGGTTTGTCCCCCCTGATTCCGCAGGATCTCCCTGCCACCAGCATTGGCGCTACGCTCAGCTGCTGGCGCGGGGCTGCCCTGGCGACGGCTGGCCCGCCGGGCCAGACCTTCTCCTCCCTGCCCGCTTATCCCCGCTCGCTACCCCTCTCCCATGGCGGCAGTGCGTTGCGCAGCGCGGCTTCGGCCCAGCGCCCGGCGCTCGCACCTTGCCGCCTCGGCGGCCCCGCGGTCCCGGGCGCGGCGCGGCCTCGGCCCGGCCCTGGGCACCGCGGAACGGCAGCGCAACGTGCGCGGCTTCGGCCCAACCCCGCGCGCTCGCCAGTGCGGGGCAGGCGTCCTCCCTGCAGCACACCGGCACCCTGTCGGTCATGGGCGGCATGTTCCTGGCTTGATCTGACAGCCGCGCCTCAGACTGCGGCTCTCTTTCCCTGTGTACGTGGCACCTTGGACTACCACGGCCTGGGCCTCTCCTGCATCCTGTTCGGTGGCACAACGTTACACTCCGGCCCAGCGGTGCTGCTCACCCTCGCGGGCGTCGCCCTGGATACGTGGTGCGTCCTCTCCCGCGGTCACTTGAGGCTGGTGTGCATGAAGAGCCGCTGGCGGCACCACCACCACAGCATTTTGCTCTTCCGGTACTTCGCCTCCGGTTTATTGCGCGAGGCGTTCCTTTGCATGCACTTCGCCTTCGGTGCCGCCTGATTCCGGTTCTTTGCCCTCTCTTGGCCTTGACGTGAGGCCCCTCCTTCTGCCCTCCTCTTTCTGTCAATTAAGCTGTGCGCGGCCCGCTTAGCTTCGACCGGAAGAGGCTCGCTCTCGACCCGCAAATCAAAAAATGTGTCTTGGAAAGCCTCTCAGGGGACTCCTGGACGGCTCCTGGGTGGGTGGGTGAAAAGGCGAACCAGGAAATCCAGTCGTGAACCGGGAAATTCGGCTCCGAGTGGCGAAAATCTTCTCGGTCGAAACGAAAATGTTCCCCGGGCCAACGGGGAAGTTCTCTGGGGGCTCCAGGTAGTTTTTTCTGGTCGAGCGAGGGCATTGGCTTGGCCGGCGCAGGATCCCCCAAAAGGGCTTCCATCTTTATCTGGCGTTCCTTATTCAGTCGCGGTGCCCGGGCGGGCGCGGGGGGGGAAAGCATGGAGCTTCCATCCTCATTTGGTTCTCCCTATTTCAGCTACCCTCCTGTACGTGTGCAGTTGTCGCCCCCCCAGGAGGAGCTCGACCGGTGCGCAGCGGAGCAGGCTCGACGGACCCACCTGGAGACCGAGCGGCGCACCGCCGAGCGGCTCCGCCAGGCCCGGGTGGAGGCCGCGCTGCGGGCCGCGGACGAGGTCCGGTTGTGCGTAAGAGTGGCCCTTTGCCAGAGCGATTCGTCATGAGGGAAACGGGTCCTGAGGCAAACGGGTCCAGAGGTTTTTCCGCCTCTTCCTCCTCCTCCTCCTCCTCCTCCTCGCTCTCCTCCTCCTCCTCCTGCTCCTCCTTATCCTCCTCCCCCTGCTGCGTTTCCTCCTCCTTCTCCTCCTCCTCTTGCTCCTCCTCCTCCTCCTCCTCCTCCTCCTCCTCTTGCTCCTCCTCCTTCTCCTCCTGCTCCTCCTCCTCCTCCTCCTCGTCTCCTGCTCCTCCTCCCTCTCGAAGTTTTTCGTCACCGTTTTCGGGCTCGTCGGGCCCCCCCGGCTGTCTCCTAGGGGGAAGCTCAAGGGTCTGGAACCCGTAGGGGTGGATGGGGGGGGGGGGATCGGCACAGGGGGGCCCATCCTGTTCAGGTGCGTGCTGATTCGCTATCGGGGGCCCATCGCCGGTGTATCGGCGATGTACCGCCGATTCCGCGTCGATGTTCCCCCCTACGCCAGCAGGAGCGTTCGAACCGCCCACGGCGCGGGCTGCAGCCATGCATTTTCACAGAGCGCGAGCGCTCCAGCCGCTATTTGCGTGGATTCCAGCCATGCACTTATGCCCAGCGCGAGCGTTTCCAGCCGCACACGGCGTGGGTTGCAGTCGTACGCTTTTATTGGCGAGCGTTCCAGCCGCCCACGGCAAATTCTCACTAGCAAATGAGTCCACTGACTGTAATGCCAGTCCCCCCCCATCGTTGCCACTCGTTCGCGCAAGAGCCACCCTTCGCCAGGGTGACACGCATGCGGGAAGAACACACGAGACATTCAAGAGAAGGCATCGCCTGCGAGGCTCGAAGGGGGCGATAATTCTCTTCCTCGGCGGGGGACGGCGGGCAGGGCGGCGGGCAGGGCGGCGGACGCAAGGCGAGGCCGCCTCCGCCGACGGAGGGCCGGGCGGAAGCTGGCGGACGTACAGGTCGGCCTGCCAATAGTGATGGGACTGTTTTCCACCACCACCACCACCATACGTTGGAGGGGAGGAGGAGGAGGAGGAGGAGGAGGAGGAGGAGGAGGAGGTGGAGGAGGAGGAGGAGGAGGAGCAGGAGGAGGCGGAGGAGGAGGAGGAGGAAGAGGAGGAGGAGGAGAAGGAGGAGGAGGAATAGTAATACACATACTACTACTACTACTACTACTACTACTACTACTACTACTACGACTACTACGACTACTAATACTAATAATGATACTGCTAGCAAAAAGACTAATAAGGCAATGAAGCGGACGAGTAATAGTAATACTAGCACTCATAACAGTAGCAGGAATATTTATACACATAATTATAGTATTAATGTTAAGGCTACTGCTACGAATCATACTAACTAATACTATAAAGCTTACTGACACATGTACTATTATTATGACATTTTAGTATGAAAAGAGGAACGACGAATCGGAGGTGAGGGGGTGAGATCGAAGTGGAACGGAGAGCCCCCCTACCGGGAAATCGATTTCGGTTTCGTGTTCGTGCGTGCCGTGCGGGCGAGGCGAAGCTGCGTGGGCGGGCGAGAAAAAGTCTCCTGTGGCTGAGGCGCGGCCGGACCAAATGATTCTCCGCCGGGCGGCCGGTGGCGCGCGGTGTCCCGCGGTGTCCCGCCGGTGTCCCGTGTGGCTGAGGCGCGGCCGGACCAAATGACTCCCTTCCGGGCGGCCGGTGGCCCGCGGTGTCCCGCCGGTGTCCCGCGGTGTCCCGCGGTGTCCCGCGGTGTCCCGCGGTGTCCCGCCGGTGTCCCGCGGTGTCCCGCGAGGATGATGATGATGATGATGATGATGATGATGATGATGATGATGATGATGATGATGATGATGATGATGATGATGATGATGAGATGATGATGATGGTGTCCCGATGAAGATGATGATGATGTTGATGATGGTGTCGATGATGATGATAGTGTCCCGATGATGAGGATGATGATGCTCATGATGATTATGTTGATGATGATGACGATGATGGTGTCCCGATGATGATGATGATGATGATGATGATGATGATGATGATGATGATGATTCCGATGATGTTGGTGATGATGATGTTGATGGAAATGGTGTCCCGGCGATAATGATGTTGATGATGATGATGATGATGATGTTGATGATTATGGTGTCCCGATGATGATGCTGATGATGATGATGGTGATGATGATGATGGTGATGTTGATGGTGTCCCGATGGTGATAATAATGATAATGACGATGTTGATGATGATGTTGCTCATGATGATGATGATGGTGCCCAATGATGATGATGTTGATGATGATGATGATGTCGATGATGATGATGCGATGATCATGATGATGATGATGGTGTCCCGAGGATGATGACGATGTTGATGATAATGTTGATGATGGGAACGATGGTGATCATGATGGTGTCCCGATTATGATCATGATGCTGATGATGCTGCTGATGATGATGACGATGACTGTGTCCCGATGATAATGATGATGATGTTGATGATGAGATGATGATGGTGATGGTGATGATGATGTTGTCCCGATGATGATGCTGACGTTGATGATGATGTTTATGATGATGATGATGATGATGATGATGATGATGATGATGATGATGATGATGATGATGATGACGGTGCGCTCATGATGGACACGATGTTGGTGATGATGTTGATGCTGATGATGATGTTGTTGTTGATGATGATGATGATGATGATGATGATGATGATGATGACGTTGATTGTGAGAGTGATTGTGATATCGAGAGTGTGATCGATATTGAGGCCGAATGTGAGATCGATTGTGCAATTGGGAGATCGATCGAATGAGATAGATCGAGTGAGATCGATTGTGAGATCGATCGAGTGAGATCGATCGAGCGAGACCGATAGTGAGATCGATACTGAGATCGATAGTGAGACCGATCGAGTGAGACGTTGGTTCCCCCCCCCGAACCTCCTTATCACCCGAAGGGTGGTCGTATAGGTACTATTAATAACAAGACGAATGCTAATACGAACAATGGTGATAATACAATTCATTCTACTGTACGAATAGTAATAGGAGGACGAGGAGGCATAATACTAATACGAACAGTAATAATCCTAGCAATGCGAAGACGGACACTACTGATAAGGATACACAGACGAAAACTCATACATATAAGACTAAGAATAAGAGTACTAAGCGTAATCATACTAGTAGCAAGAGAAACAGTAATACTACGAGTGCGAATGCTAATAATAAATCATAAAAATGTTAATAATAATAGGACTAATATTAATCCTGTTAAGAATAAGAATAAGAAGAAGAGGAGGAGGAGAAGGCGGAGGAGGAGGAGGAGGAGGAGGAGGGGGACCCCCTTCCCCTCCAACTTACGGTGGTGGTGGTGGTGGAAAACAGGCCCATCAAAGAGATCGCAAGGTTTTTGGTTCAGGGTTTCGTGGGCCCGCCATATCCGTTTCCGTGGCCTCGGGGGCATGGCCCCCTTGGGCCGCGACCCCGCGGATGTGGGGCGTTTTGTTCGCGGCTTCCCGTGCGGAGCGTATCCGTGCGACAGCTTGGACGCTGAGCCCGCGTCTGTGCCAGGCGTTGCTCCGTTATATTTTTCACTGTTGCTTCGGCGCGGCCCGCCCTAGCTTTGCCTGGCTTTCGACCTGCTTCGCGAGCCCGCGTGCCAAAACAGTATCCGTGCGACAGCGTATCCGCGGGGTCGCGCCCGGGAAGCCAGACCGCGAGTGTTCGGCTACGAGCACGTTCGCCGCTCGTGAGACCTTTTTCTCTGGTGCAGACCCACGGGGCGTCTCCCCAGCAGCGGTGGCCTGCACTCAACATCCCGTCAAAATATTGTAGACGCTTCACACACGCGCGAGTCCACCCCAAGGCGGCGCTGGGGGATCTGCCCGATGCCGTCCGGCTCCCCTCTCAGTGGCCTTACACGCTCCAGGATCGTGGGCAGACACTTCGGAGAATCGCCTGGGTAGAAAGCCAAGCGTCAGTCGAGACGGTGGACAACAGGAAAGAGGCCACGCGCGAAGAATTGGCCAGGAAAGGCAACTGTGCTCTCGACGTCCGTGTCGCCAAGATCGACGGCAATACGCACCTGGACGACCTGGACATCTTCCAGTTGCGAAACGCCCTGGACCTCCCAGAGGGTAAGGAGCTCTACCTGCTGGAGTGGCCCTCCAGGTACAGGGTCGCATCCAGAACCCAGGAGGGAGACAAAGAAGGCAAGGATCTGTACATCTCCGTCACCAGCCCCACAGTGGACAAAATTGCGGACGTCACGATCTGGTGGCCACCCTCCTTGGGCGGCGCCGTCCACCCCAGAGACGCAAGAGTGCTCGGCCTCAACCCAGGCACCAGGTACCCCTCGGACAGGTGCATCGTGCAGTACAACAGCGGGAAGTGGGGGCCATTCCATGGAAATGAAACCAACGCGGCACGACCCCCAAGTGATGACGTTCCCTGGTGCAGAGTGGACGAGGCCCCCTCCGACACCCAGTACTGGCGCCAGTGTTGGGCTCTTGACCAGATTTACTACCTCCGGCAGAATGCGGCGGATTTGTTCGCTCGCACACTGTCCCCTCTGACGTTCCTCTTGGCCTTCCTGCGCGCTCCCCGAGCCGACCGACGCGCAGCCAACGACCTCCAGCGTACCAGCAAGGTCGGCTCGAATCTGCGGGCCAGAGCCGCAGCGACACTGGAGATGGACGTCCCCGACGCTGACCTTACCCAGGCGGTCCGGCCTGGCCTTCTACAGCAGGAACCGCCGCTTCCCTTTGGCTTGGCGGCGTTCTCGGACGACGTGCTCTCAGACTCGACGGGGTCGGTATTCCAGAGGGTGCGCACCACACCTAGCCAGGCGACCTTTAACGAAAGGGTGGACAAACACAGGCCAAACAACGACGCGATCGGAGCCCTTCAGGCCACCCTACGTCACCATGCCGTACTGGTGCACGGACCCCCTGGGACAGGCAAGAC